TCCTGTGGATAGGAAGAGCAATAGTATAGCCATCAGCACATCACTTTTGCCTGTCGATAGGGAGAGCAACAGTATAGCCATCAGCACATCACTTTTGCCTGTGGATAGGGGGGCAACAGTATAGCCGTCAACACATCACTTTTTCCTTTGGATAGGAAGAGCAACAGTATAGCAATCAGCACATCACTTTTGCCTGTCGATAGGGAGAGCAACAGTATAGTCATCAGCACATCACTTTTTCCTGTGGATAGGAAGAGCAACAGTATAGCCATCAGCACATCACTTTTGCCTGTGGATAGGGAGAGCAACAGTATAGCCATCAGCACATCACTTTTTCCTGTGGATAGGAAGAGCAACAGTATAGCCATCAGCACATCACTTTTGCCTGTCGATAGGGAGAGCAACAGTATAGCCATCCGCACATCACTTTTGCCTGTGGATAGGGAGAACAACAGTATAGCCATCAGCACATCACTTTTTCCTTTGGATAGGAAGAGCAACAGTATAGCCATCAACGCATCACTTTTGCCTCTGGATAGGGAGAGCAACAGTATAGCCATCAGCACATCATTTTTTCCTGTGGATAGGAAGAGCAACAGTATAGCCATCAGCACATCACTTTTTCCTGTGGATAGGAAGAGCAACAGTATAGCCATCAGTACATCACTTTTGCCTGTGGATAGGAAGAGCAACGGTATAGCCATCAGCACATCACTTTTGCCTGTGGATAGGAAGAGCAACAGTATAGCCATCAGCAGGTTACTTGGATTTCACATCTCTTTTGCCTATGGGTAGGAAGAACAACAGTATAGCCATCAGCACATCACTTTTGCCTCTGGATAGGAAGAGCAACAGTATAGCCATCAGCAGGTTACTTGGATTTCACATCTCTTTTGCCTATGGGTAGGAAGAACAACAGTATAGCCATCAGCACATCACTTTTGCCTCTGGATAGGAAGAGCAACAGTATAGCCATCAACACATCACTTTTTCCTGTGGATAGGCAGAGCAACAGTATAGCCATCAGCACATCACTTTTGCCTCTGGATAGGAAGAGCAACAGTATAGCCATCAGCAGGTTACTTGGATTTCACATCTCTTTTGCCTATGCGTAGGAAGAGCAACAGTATAGCCATCAGCACATCACTTTTGTCTGTGGATAGGAAGAGCAACAGTATAGCCATCAGTACATCACTTTTGCCTGTGGATAGGAAGAGCAACAGTATAGCCATCAACACATCACTTTTTCCTGTGGATAGGCAGAGCAACAGTATAGCCATCAGCACATCACTTTTGCCTCCTGATAGGAAGAGCAACAGTATAGCCATCAGCAGGTTACTTGGATTTCACATCTCTTTTGCCTATGGGTAGGAAGAACAACAGTATAGCCATCAGCACATCACTTTTGCCTGTCGATAGGGAGAGCAACAGTATAGCCATCCGCACATCACTTTTGCCTGTGGATAGGGAGAACAACAGTATAGCCATCAGCACATCACCTTTTCCTCTGGATAGGAAGAGCAAAAGTATAGCCATCAGCACATCTCTTTTGCCTGTGGATAGGGAGAGCAACAGTATAGCCATCAGTACATCACTTTTTCCTGTGGATAGGGAGAGCAACAGTATAGCCATCAGTACATCACTTTTTCCTGTGGATAGGGAGAGCAACAGTATAGCCATCAGCACATCACTTTTGTCTGTGGATAGGAAGAGCAACAGTATAGCCATCAGTACATCACTTTTTCCTGTGGATAGGGAGAGCAACAGTATAGCCATCAGCACATCACTTTTTCCTGTGGATAGGAAGAGCAACAGTATAGCCATCAGCACATCACTTTTGTCTGTGGATAGGAAGAGCAACAGTATAGCCATCAGCACATCTCTTTTGCCTGTGGATAGGAAGAGCAACGGTATAGCCATCCGCACATCACTTTTGCCTGTGGATAGGGAGAACAACAGTATAGCCATCAGCACATCACTTTTGCCTCCTGATAGGAAGAGCAACAGTATAGCCATCAGCAGGTTACTTGGATTTCACATCTCTTTTGCCTATGGGTAGGAAGAGCAACAGTATAGCCATCAGCACATCACTTTTGCCTCCTGATAGGAAGAGCAACAGTATAGCCATCAGCAGGCTACTTGGTTTTCACATCACTTTTGCCTGTGGATAGGAAGAGCAACATTATAGCCATAAGCAGGCTTTCCCATTTGTTTGTGGACAAGAACAATATTGTGTCTACCAGGCAGCCATTGTGGAGGTCAAGGTCAAAGTTGGTTGTGTCTGTTTTACAGGATGTGTGCTGTATAGATATGCACTGGTTACCCTTGAGTCCTCGTTGTACAATATCACGTTGGTGCACGATTACGGTCAAATGTCAAGGTCACAGTTGTCCACTACCATAGCCACTGAACGGTGATAGAGAAGATTTGCAGTCATGCTTTAGATAACTATGACTACATGGTATAAGGTCAATGTCACATAGTTAAGGTCATAATGACAAACACATGTGACAACGTGGAACTGTTGTAATATAAGTAATACAAAATAGAGACCTTGAAGGAAGTAATACTGTTTGGATGATTTATCAAACTTGACAAGGGTCCTATCAAGTAGGGAGCACAATGAAGGCTTGTTTTCTTAGTGACAGTGTATATATTAGCAATCTGGATTAATGAATCAAAAGTGTGTTCACCGGTAAACAGCTCTAACAGCCAGAAAATGGTCAACAGGTGGTACCAGTACCTACAAAAGCTGACGTATGGTCCATCATCAGTACAAGACTATATAAAAATCTATAAACACATCATCCGAATGAAAGCCTACTTGTAAGACTTACTGAAGTTATAGGTAGGGCAGGCAATCGACCAAGTTCACTCTCCATTATACAAAAGACGATATACTAGTATTAGTCTTTGGATTTACCAACAGCCGTTCAATACCGGTAGGGCAGCATTCAACATCTGTGTCGGGAATAAATTATCATGCCACGCTAATCACTGACATTGAACTAATTATGGGTTTCTCAGAACGCATATCTACAAATATGTTCCACTCCCTTCAATACAATCCTTATGGTGAACAGAAAATTCCTTTCTGGGATTAAAATAAAATAAAGATAAGAATACACCAAAAAGACAAAATTCAAACATCCTAATCACAACAGTTCCCAGCGACACACAGCAGCCGAACGAAAACAATAGGAACCCCAGCCCACCTGTTCAGTATATTGTCCTGGAGCTGAGGCTCTACAAACAATTAAATTGCAATCCTTAGCACTAATAGCATTGAAAGGATAGTGACGATCAGGTCTAGGCTGAATGCACCAAGGAGAAAGCTCCAATCAGAACACAAAACGATTGCTGGAGACATTTTTCTCCTTCAAAATGAACCAAGTTTATCAAGAATTCATAAGGAATCTGATATTGTTGGAAAACCTTACTACATCAAAGTATCTACCAGCTGAGGTTAATATTGGATAGCTTTAATTTACTACACCAAGGTAACTACCGGCTGTAGTTATTGTTGAATAGCTTTAATTTACTACACCAAGGTAACTACTGGCTGTAGTTAATATTGGATAGCTTTAATTTACTACACCAAGGTAACTGCCGGCTGTAGTTATTGTTGAATAGCTTTAACTTACTACACCAAGGTATCTACTGGCTGATGTTAATATCGGATAGCTTTAATTTACTACACCAAGGAAACTACCGGCTGTAGTTATTGTTGAATAGCTTTAACTTACTACACCAAGGTATCTACTGGCTGATGTTAATATTGGATAGCTTTAATTTACTACACCTAGGTAACTACCGGCTGTAGTTAATATTGGATAGCTTTAATTTTCTACACCAAGGTATCTACCGACTGAGGGTAATGTTGGACAGCTTTTATTTACTACACCAAGGTAACTACTGGCTGTAGTTAATATTGGATAGCTTTAATTTACTACACCAAGGTATCTACCGACTGTAGTTAATATTGAATAGCTTTAATTTACTACACCAAGGTAACTACCGGCTGTAGTTAATATTGGATAGCTTTAATTTACTACACCAAGGTATCTACCGACTGAGGGTAATGTTGGATAGCTTTAATTTACTACACCAAGGTAACTACCGGTTTTAGTTAATATTGACAAAACAGTAGACAAAATGTTTGTGATGTATGATGAAGACAAAATGTCTGTGATGTCTTGATGAAGACAAAATGTCTGTGATGTCATATTAAAGACACAGTGTCGGTTATGTCATGATGCAGACAAAATGTATGTGATGTTTTGATGAAGACAAAATGTCTGTGATGTCATGATGAAGACAAACTGTCTGTGATGTCATGGTGCAGACAAAATGTCTGTGATGTTTTAATGAAGACAAACTGTATGTGATGTCTCTGATGAAGACAAACTGTATGTGATGTCTGTGATGAAGACACACTGGCTGTGATGTCTGTGATGTCATGATGAAGACAAACTGTCTGTGATGTCATGGTGCAGACAAAATGTCTGTGATGTTTTAATGAAGACAAACTGTATGTGATGTCTTTGATGAAGACAAACTGTATGTGATGTCTGTGATGAAGACACACTGGCTTTGATGTTTCTATAGGTCGCCTTATTGTCCCCATGCCTCGTTCATCTTCAAACATTAATTCTGAAAATTACACAAATCACACGTTATCGTTCGACCTGTTGATGGCATGTACCCGTGTATCCGGGATATTTACATGTCTTTCATGGCGAATTTATTTCTAGCTTATTTGCCAAGAACAAGATATTTAAACTCTGGCGTGTTTCGATATTAATTAGATACGCTAAGCTCTATCACTGATCCTAATATCGATCATACTGTACTGAGATATAGCGTGATCAGAACAGGTATCGACCACGCTTTTGAATTTGCTATTTTCTTTGAATATAATTGGAAAGTGACTGGCTCAGGATAGATGACATTGAAAAGACACTCAGGAGACAAGCATTGCTTTAAACCACCAAGGGACATGCACGTAGGAAAACGATTCCTCTGTTTGTCATTGATAGTGTGGATTCTTCGTCCATATTTATATGGTAAGTTGATTAACTAAATATGATATCCACACAGTACATAAACGTTAACTCTTGAAAGACAAATTAAAATAGCGTTTAAAAAAATACTAAACATATAAACATGTCTGCTGTAATATTGCTTTCCATTTTCTGCCTTTTTCGTATGAGAACTACTTTGATGACATATCGATAAAGTAATTATACGACACAATTTGCAGGTTTTGTATACTACATTTTACATATCACTATAATAAGGACAGTAGCACATTTCGTTCACAAAAAAATCATCTTTTTTCAACAGAAGGAGTGATATTTCTGTCAGGAAATGTCATCTAATTTATAGTAAAGTTTTTAAAACAGTGTCGTCAGCAGATATAAACAATTATTAAGTAATCCATAAATTCTTTTTAATAAAAAAAGAACATCACGAACTGTTTGTAAAACTCTCTTTTGTGTTGAAATAACGCCTTTTCCTCACTGTTCTATTTAGGTGTTTGTGATGGCCAGGTCCTTGTGTACGGTGAGTATTATATATGATATATATTTGTGATGGACAGGTCCTAGTGTACGGTGCGTATTATATATGATATCTGTTTGTGATGGACAGGTCCTAGTGTACGGTGAGTATTCTATATGATATCTGTTTGTGATGGCCAGGTCCTTGTGTACGTTGAGTATTATATATGATATATATTTGTGATGGACAGGTCCTAGCGTACGGTGCGTATTCTATATGATATCTGTTTGTGATGGACAGGTCCAAGTGTACATTGCGTATTCTATATGATATCTGATTCTGATGGACAGGTCCTTGTGTACGGTGAGTATTCTATATGATATCTGTTTGTGATCGGCAGGTCCTTATGTATGGTGAGCATTCTATATGATATCTGATTGTGATGGACAGGTCCTTGTGTACGGTGAGTATTATATCTGATATCTGATTGTGATGGACAGGTCCTTGTGTATGGTGAGTATTATATATGATATCTGATTGTGATGGACAGGTCCTTGTGTACGGTGAGTATTACATATGATATCTGATTGTGATGGACAGGTCCTGGTGTATGGTGAGTATTATATATGATATCTGTTTGTGATGGCCAGGTCCTTGTGTACGGCGAGTATTATATATGATATCTGATTGTGATGGACAGGTCCTTGTGTATGGTGAGTATAATATATATATCTGTTTGTGATGGACAGGTCCTTGTGTATGGTGAGTATTATATATGATATATGATTGTGATGGACAGGTCCTTGTGTACGGTGAGTATTACATATGATATCTGATTGTGATGGACAGGTCCTTGTGTACGGTGAGTATATTTACAATATTGTTATGTATTTAGTATTTATTTTACAATGAAAAAGTGGTTATGGATAAATAACAGTACAGTCATGTATTTATTGCTTATTTTTCTATAAAAAACAACAATACGATTATGTACAATGTATCACGTGTTTATTTTATAATAAAATACAATATTACAGTTTCGAGATTTGTTTTCTTATCGGGCGTTAATTATGTCATTCCTTTTTTCCTGGTCTTTCCTGTGATACTTTTGTTGTGTTCACCAATCGATTATGAGTTTATTTAATATTGATAGTAGATGTGGCCTGATTTATAATCAGCCTTTGTTGTTCTAGGTAACGCCGATTCGCATTTTACGGGTATGATAAGGGTGGTCAACACGACCGTGACATGGCACGAGGCTCACTCGGCGTGCCTGAACATGGGCTTCGGGAGGATGATGCATTCTACGAATGCTGGAGACAGAGTCGTTTATACGAGGAAGGTACTCATTGAAAACGGATGGTGAGCATATCTATATAAACATATATTTATAACTCTCAAACGAATATATACTTGGTCAAATATTTATAAGAACGGAGATGGACTTGGTGAAATGAACTGTATTTTGTTGGCAATGTGAAGTTTTTCGAAGTACATCTAAGGTCTGACGAGGTACAATCAGCAAAATCATTCATTCTATTCGAATCAAATTCTTGTTAAACCCATCTTATATGGCTCCCGCTATCCAGTCACCACTAGTACGGTTGTCCAGATATCCAGTCACCACTAATACGGTTGTCCAGATATCCAGCCACCACTAATACGGTTGTCCAGATATCCACTCACCACTAATACGGTTGTCAAGATATCCAGTCACCACTAATACGGTTGTCCAGATATCCAGTCACCACTAATACGGTAGTCCAGATATCCAGCCACCACTAATACGGTTGTCCAGATATCCAGTCACCACTAATCCAATTTTCCCACCATCTAGCCACCACTATTCCGGGAATTTCACTATCCAGCCACCACTAATCCTGTTGTCCCACTATCCAGCCACCACTTAACAAATTTTCCCACTATCCAGATACTACTAATCCGGTTGTCTCACTAACAGCCACCACTAAACTAATTTTCCCTCTATCCAGCCATCACTAATCCGGTTATCCCACAACCAAGCCACTATATTAAGGTTGTCACACTATCCAACCACCACTTTCCCAGTTGTCGCACTACCCAACCACCACTTATCAGGTTGTCCCACTACCCAACCACCACTTATCAGGTTGTCCCACTACCCAACCACCACTTATCAGGTTGTCCCACTACCCAACCACCACGAATCAGGTTGTCACACTACCCAACCACCACTTATCAGGTTGTCCCACTACCCAACCACCACTTATCAGGTTGTCCCACTACCCAACCACCACTAATCAGGTTGTCCCGCTACGTACATACCCAAACACCACTTATCAGGTTGTCCAGTTGTCGCACTATGAAGCCAGTATTTGGAGACAGATTTCTATATAAATGTCTAAGAAATCCATCTGTTTCACAGCCCTGCTACTTTGACGAGGAACGAAATTGAAAACATTCTCATTTGTATTTTGTGTGAAAATTAACGTTATTATAGACTGAAAAGCTTTTTCTTGTTCGGGGGATCACCCCGAAAATAATTTCTGTAAAAATCAGTAATTCACACTACATGCTGAGTTTGTTATGTATTCTACAGGCCTGATGTGCCTCTTTGGATTGGTTATCTGAAAGACGGATCAACCAACAAATGGAACAAAGTTTCTACGACTTGTTCTCCAATCAGCAACAGTAACTTGTTCAAGTTTGGCAATGACCTACCAGATACTCAGCTGTGTGTTTTAGTGAACATGACGAGAGCTACGAGCGAGCAGGCCTGGTATGGTGTACCTTGTAATGAGAGACACGCGTTTATCTGTGAGGAGCCTGTAGGTTAGTTATCTCCACATTAGCCATCAAGAAAGGTTACAAAAATCAGCGAGTTTCAAACATATTAATTCAGCTGGGGGGTTTGTGACATTTATTTATATTTTTTTCAACTAATGCAATAGTCACCCGCTTTATATCCAACCAATGTTTATAAACAGATTTATAGTTACATTGTAGAAAGTTGGAGAGTTTTAGGATCAAAATAGTAAAAATTTAAGGGATTCCGTTCTCTGTAGTATTTTGAATACTATTTTACTTATTTCACTTTCTATAATATTTAGCTAGGTTTAACCATTCATTGTCGAAGCTTTGTTTGGAAATGCTTTAAGGGGTTATTTTCGGACATTTCATTAATAAAAAATATTAAGTTCCAGTAATGAACTGAAATATGCAAAAGCCTGATGATTTAATGTCGAAAACCTGTTAAGTTAATTATACGGTCTTCATTCAAACGTTCGTTTACATACAGCCGTCAAGACCACCAAAACAAATGATGCAGCGCTGATTTCTGGGCTTCCGACTTCTAAACTGACCACCACATACGACTGTCTGACAGCGTGTTGTCGGGCAAAAATACTACCTTATGTCAATATCCCTGTAGTCCAGGTAAACCTGGCGAACGGAAGCTGTGTACACCTCAGTGACGACATATTCAACTTCCCTCTCCCATATTATGTAAACACGTCGGTAACTGGGAGCAATGTGATTGCAGCAAACACTGTCATGACGGGTAAGTCTCTAGCTAGTAAAGGTATCTCACTAGTTTTATATAGACACTGTCATGACGGGTAAGTCTCTAGCTAGTAAATGTATCCCACTAGTTTTATATAGACACTGTCATGACGGGTAAGTCTCTAGCTGGTAAAAGTATCCCACAAGTTTTATATAGACAATGTCTTGACGGGTAAGTCTCTATCTAGTAAAAGTATCCCACAAGTTGTATATAGACACTGTCATGACGTGTAAGTCTCTAGCTAGTAAATGTATCTCACTAGTTTTATATAGACACTGTCATGACGGGTAAGTCTCTAACTAGTAAAAGTATCCCACAAGTTGTATATAGACAATGTCATGACGTGTAAGTCTCTAGCTGGTAAAAGTATCCCACAAGTTTTATATAGACAATGTCATGACGGGTAAGTCTCTAGCTAGTAAATGTATCCCACTAGTTTTATATAGACACTGTCATGACGGGTAAGTCTTTAGCTAGTAAATGTATCTCACTAGTTTTATATAGACACTGTCAAGACGGGTAAGTCTCTAGCTAGTTAATGTATCCCACAAGTTTTATATAGACACTGTCATGACAGGTAAGTCTTTAGCTAGTAAATGTATCCCACTAGTTTTATATAGACACTGTCAAGACGGGTAAGTCTTTAGCTAGTAAATGTATCCCACTAGTTTTATATAGACACTGTCAAGACGGGTAAGTCCCTCGAGAAAACGGTCTTCGCCTAGAAACCTGTACAGTACCTATAATGAGCAGTAATCTGTACCTATAGTTATTATCTAACCGCACTTTGGAACAGTACACAAGAATACATATATATAAATGTATATATGTATATAAATGTGTATATGTATATAAATGTATATATGTATATAAATGCCACAACGTGTAAGGCAGCCTCATTATGTATCCTAAGGGGAGGTAGTTTTAACGTAAGTCAAGATTATCACGTGTACAGTAGATATATCATCTAACCTTAGATTCTACGGTGCGCAAATCTAGTGAGGAAAAGTATAAGATTAAATACAGTGGCTATTTTTACCACAGGAACTTGTCATGATATGTCGAATTATCACCAATATTCACTAGGCTTGTCTCTTTTCAGTGGTGGTCCTGGATGACAATGGGACAATAGACTACACGTCGAATACTGACCTTTCATGTAAGTTTTGATTTGACTTTCACATTTCCTAAATTATATAAAGGTGGAAATGAAGAGATAGATGGTAAGAATAATTAACAACCTTGACTTTTGGAAGAAATCATTCAAAATCTTTTTCATATGGAAGAACATATTTTCTGTTTCAAAAAGACAAACTGTTACATAAGTCAACGACAAGAGGGATCGCTAAAGCGGTGCTGGAATTCTTTATTATTGTGCTATTAACGGGCGGAACTTCCTTGTGCAACTTTACAACATCAAATTGTATTACAGGTATCTAGTGGGACTTAAATGATTAACATTCTGTTTTATTGAGAATATTGCATGGGTGATGTGCCAAAACCGTTTATGAAAAAAATGCCTGGCACTGACTTATAGTTAACATCTTCTATTCCCAAAAAGACAGAAGACGACATATTTTGCTTACAGAAGAATTTAGTTCTAATATGCTCATAAATTTATCTATTATATGTCTATTCCGAATTCTCAACTCAGATAATAACAGAAACGCCATCTATCATCCTTCGATTTGGAGTGATCAAAGTGTGGAATGAGGGGTTGGCGTGTTAAATGTAAAATCGGTGCTGGTGAGATTTGCCAATATCAGCATCTGAAATGATAAAGAGACAGTAACTGAAGTCTATAACACTATCCATTAGCCAGGATGTGTACTGAACCCTAACAACATATTAACACACGGCGGTTTGATAAGATAACAATAGGTAATTACATACATAGGTATTATGAGGAAATGATTAACACGAATAATTCATGAACCCTTTGTGATATACATCTTTAGTCCTTTATCGATTTGTGTATATCCTGTGTATATCCTATGATAGCATCAAATATACATCCAAATCTGCTGGAGAAACACAAAGTATTCCTCCGTCTTAAGATACTCCTATTTCTCATCGACAGAAAGCAGTTTGCTATATTGTAATACCGAAGCATAACAAATTTGATTGCATATTCAATATGTACAAAACGTTAATCTAAATTACAGGTACTATATTCTAAAATATGTACATTCGAGGTTTTTGAAGAGATGATGGGACCGCAAAAATAAAAAGTGGAGATAATTTTGTGCAACTCAAATAATTCAAGTTAACATCAAGAAGTTGACCGAATGAAATATATCAAAGAAACACAGCTAGGTCCTAATTCATGTTTATTTTTATTTGTAATCACCTTCTGCAAGGTATGCATATTTTCTTTGCTTGTTTCTCCTGACGATAAGACGGCATATGCATGTTTTCTAAAATTATAATCTCTTACTAAAAGCGGCAGAATGTTTCTTATAATTTACATTCCTTCAACTAGGTGGTTAATAAAAATGTTCATTTTTTGTTATCCCCTAACGACTAGGTGGTAAACAATTTTTTTGGTTATTTGTTATCAACTAACGACTTTTTTTATCCCCTAACGACTAGGTGGCAAATGGATATTTTCGTTATTTATTATCCCCTAACGACTAGGTGGTAAATCAATATTTTCCCTGACGACTGGGTGGTCAATACATGTTTTCGTTATTTGTTATCCCCTAACGACTAGGTGGTCAATAATGTTTTCGTTTGCTGTTATCCTTTAACGACTAGGTGGTCAATTCTGTTAACGTTATTTGTTATCCACTAACGACTAGGTGGCAAATGGATATTTTCGTTATTTATTATCCCCCAACGACTAGGTGGTAAATCAAGATTTTCCCTGACGACTGGGTGGTCAATACATGTTCTCGTTATTTGTTATCTCTTAACGACAAGGTGGTCAATAATGTTTACGTTAGTTGTTATCCCTTAAGGACTAGGTGGTCAATACTGTTTACGTTAGTTGTTATCCCTTAACGACTAGGTGGTCAATACTGTTTACGTTATTTGTTATCCCTTAACGACAAGGTGGTCAATAATGTTTTCGTTATTTGTTATCCCTTAACGACAAGGGGGTCAATAATGTTTTCGTTATTTGTTATCTCTTAACGACTAGGTGGTCAATTCTGTTTTCGTTATTTGTTATCTCTTAAATACTAGGTGGCCAATACTGTTTTCGTTATTTGTTATCCCTTAACGACAAGGGGGTCAATAATGTTTTCGTTATTTGTTATCTCTTAACGACTAGGTGGTCAATACTGTTTTCGTTATTTGTTATCTCTTAAATACTAGGTGGCCAATACTGTTTTCGTCATTTGTTATCCCTTAACGACTAGGTGGTCAATACTGTTTACGTTATTTGTTATCCCCTAACAACTAGGTGGTCAATAATGTTTTCGTTATTTGTTATCCCTTAACGACAAGGTGGTCAATAATGTTTTCGTTATTTGTTATCTCTTAACGACTAGGTGGCCAATACTGTTTTCGTCATTTGTGATCCCTTAACGGCTAGGTGGCCAATACTGTTTNTGTTTACGTTATTTGTTATCCCTTAACGACAAGGTGGTCAATACTGTTTACGTTATTTGTTATCCCCTAACAACTAGGTGGTCAATAAAATTTTCGTTATTTGTTATCCCTTAAGGACA